CCACTGCTTGTCACTTCACCCGGTCTAGGTCTCCTTTGGTGGATTGAGGGGATCAATTGAGGGACATTAATTTTTCAGTTCATAAATATGGCACAACAGAGCGAGAGGTCTGTAGTCTCAGATTATCTTGTTCTTTATGTAAATAGAGGGCCTAAAGGTTTGTTTTGTAATGTTTAAGAACCAGTTAGTAAAAATAAGTAAATTCTCAATTACAGTACCTCAGTTACGTTTCTGGTGCATACTTCATCTTTATTCAAACTGATTAAATGTTGTGTTTTTTGGGGGGGTTTTTTTGGGGGGGGGTTTGGGGTTTTTTTTTTGTAATTGGCAATAACCGCTAGTAAGTTGTTTACCACCACTGGGACACTGATTGTTAACACAATGCTTATAATACATTGACTGTTTCTTTAAGAAATCTGAATATTCGTAAAAAATAAACAAAAAACACCTATTTTGGTCTGGAGAAAAAGTCCTGCTGTGGAAAGGAATTGAACCCAGGACCTTGGGATTAGAAGGTAAGCATTTTAACCACTAATCTAGGCCTATTCAAATTCCGTCCTACTTTATACAAAGACAATTTTAAATTAATATCATCGTTAAGGAATAATGATGACATTAAAACCAACTTTCATCAAGCCAGTTTAAATCTGTTCATGTCCAGCGTCGGATATTATAAGATCATTTAACTGTCTTCTTTCTGCGGATGAGTGTGAGGATCCTTTTATTTACATAAATGTGAAGTGTGTGTTTCTAACCATGAATATGATCCCCCGTCTTCTTTCTGTCACTTCATAGTACATGATAACACTATTATAGTCGAAAGTGTCTGGAATGTCTTTTAATTTTTATTTTTTGGCAGATCAAATTGGAGATAGGTCTCGCTTAGATTATATAAAAAAATATTGGTTCTGCACATATGCCTACGTGTTATGTTCCAAATCAGTGTTAGAATTCACCTCAGGTCTGGCATACCAAGGACATACAAAACAACAACGCCTCATCAATTCAAACTCCTATCATGGAGGTATAGCTTCTATTTAATTAAAAAAAGAGGGAATTACAATTTTTCGGGACTCTTCAAGAAAACAATAATGTTATAGTAGGCTGACACAGTAGGTTATATCCTTGTATCCATTGATCATACTTGTGTGTGGTGGTGATGATATGGTATTGAGTGTTGGTGGATCAATAAATGTTAGTTGTATGATTAGAAATTTAATGCATTGACAATTACCGGTTTACTTTACTGTTGATTAATGGCATAAATAATCACATGTATCTGTCTGTATAACAATTAAAACAGCGCACTCGTTTCAAATGTCTGAATTATATACAGATTGTAGATGCAGCCAAAGGTATTTATCTGGTCCCTATTTTTGTATAGAAAGGGTGAACATTGTTGTTTCACCAAGGGGTAGGCCGCACCTAAATATATGTTGCAACCTCTAATGTTTTAACATTATCATTATTTCTGTTATTGTTATCATCATCATCGTTACAATTATCATTATCAATTTCACTGGTATTGCCATTGAAATTATCATTATCCATTTTATATTCCAAGTATTATGATCATCTCTGTATCTACACTGTTCTGAATTTTTTAATATAACTGAGAAGCTTCTGTTTTTAATAATTTGATTTTTATTTACTAAGCCAACACTTCAGATTCACATCGATTTACTCGATTTGAATTTTTCTTATTAACATTTTGGATATTTCATATTCACATATTTATGTACATAGGCCTATTCAGATAATCCGGTTTGATTTACATTTAGTAACACATTATTAACAAGAAATATTTCCTTTTAAAAAAAAAAACCGCCACAACATCTTTAACTTATGACTGGTTTGTATTTCCAAACTTAATAATTAATTGTATACTTGAGAATGACCTATATTATCTTCAATGCATTTCTTTTATGATGCGGTCACACTAGGATTAAAATTTTAAAAAAAACGTACTAAACAGTACTCCACATTAGAAATGTAGAAAGTGTAATATGATTTGATATATGCCTAGGCCGACCATATTGAATTTCTTTAGGTTGTGTTCTTACCATTATTATTATTATTATTACTAATATCTATATATTAATTTTGCTAATCGCCACCTTGATCCCCTATCTCCTCTGAAACCACTGGCACGACCACATTCCGCTACATTTTAAGGCTGGATATTAGATAATAACGGGGGAAAAAAGCAAAAAACCACCGAAAATCAGTACCTGTTTCGCAAGTTGCTTACGTCACGCGTAAATACAATTAATCACATCTATTCTGTACTGCAATGCTTAGGTCTAAAAATTATCGAGTCAGGCCGTAAAAGAACCAGTCTAGGCATAGGCCTATGTTTCGCAGCTTCAATACGTTACGTCCGCCCACAGTACTTCTCACTTTCTTCAACAAAATGGGTGACAAGCATGTTCCCTCTCCGGAGTACCCATTGCATTCTGGATATATTGTAGTTTTTTTATGGCACAAAAGCAATAAATGACATGTTTTAGAAGTCGATCAGGTAAAAATAAAGGTACACCTGGGCACAAGCCATGATATAACCTCTGCCTAACCATAGCTAAACCTACACAGGCCTATAGTGGCAGCCCTAGGCCGGGCCGATTTGGATAGTGCATTAAGATAGATAGGGTCAAGCCAACTCTACCAATCAATACCTTGACTTTACGTAAACACGTCGGGACATGTTTACGGGTTCTTTTGAATGTCAGTAGTTCAGAAAAGCCAGTAGTTCAGAAAAGCCTTACATGCATCCACCTTGATTCAAGACAAACACTTCTCTCATGGCCAACTAGGCTAGGCCTACTGTATATTGCTGTACATTCACTTACAAGAGGGTAGCCCAAAGCAACAGCTAGGGGAAAATCCAGTAAGGGAGAGAGACGTCACTGGGAAGGGCTCCCGCTCCGTTTTGTCACAAATTTGTTTTAAATTTCAATGCAATATATGTGTTTTTTGCTTATTCAATTATTCTGAAACTGTTGTGCGCCCCTCCCCGTTTGAAACATTCTGGATCCACCCCTGATCACACTGCACAATAATGCCTCACAAGGACTACAGTGTGCAGCAAAGACACTCAAAACATTAACTGCAAAGATGTCCTTCAGAAAAATAATGACATATGGTAACCATAACATCCACAACGATTGCCTCCTCAACTTCCCCATTCAACAATGTACATCATCGCCACCTTTCCCCCCTCATTCAACACCGTGCGGAGCACGGGTATATGCTAGTTTATTATTATTATTATTATTATTATTATTATTATTATTATTATTATTATTATTATTATTATTATTATTAATGAAGTATTATTTTTTTATATTTATATTATTTATTTGTACGCAATTTTAAAAAATGTATTATTTTTATTATTATGCTGGCTGGGTTTTTCATAATATTCGTAACCATAATAATACTGTATGTTTCATTCGAACATACCATTTCCAACAATGTTGATAAGTTGTATACTTTATTAAGTAAATTACTTATATTTCCTCAATCTTGAATGTAAAGGTTATGTATTTAGGCCTATATACCGCGCAAATAGTAATTGGTCTATAGCTTGGCTGTCACCTCAGATGACACAATGCTAATAACAACGAAGTCACTTTTAATTTCGATTCCGGTTTAATTAAATGAACAGAATTGATTTTTTGACAAAATTAACAGTGATGTTTTTAACAGATCATGCAAAGGATGTCACATCATATGACAATTTTCTAATGTGGTCAAATTATTCACAATAAGTAGTAAAGACTTTGTGAGCTACATGTCTTCCTACTAAAATCATACTAAATTCCCCTTATATTGCTAATGATTCATTACATAAGTTTAACACCAAATTCAAATATTACAGTGGTCACAGCTTGTGACTTGAAATTTGCCTTGCCTTTTTTTTTTACCTTGAAATCAAGGTTTAAAAAAGGGTTCCAGTATCTTAGCAACTGTTGGATGCAGAGAATTTCACTTTTTGTTAAATTAGAGGGTCTTGCAACTGGTTAACATGGGTCACCAACGTTGTTACTTCTGATATTGTGATTCATTTAGAATTTTAGCATACCAAATACATATGATTGAATTCCGCCAACCGTCTGTCACCTGCATGGTCCTTTAATTTGCAAGAAATTTCACTTGAAATATTTAACCAGGATGATAGACTCTGAAGATAGATTGTTCAAATACTGGCCCTAGTATGCAAATATATAAGAAATATATAATTGAGGTATAAGTTTATTTATATTAATATTTTTATCAACTAAAAAAGCTAAAGCTGAGCATTAAAAAATTGAACTTTTGCAGTGGAAGTATATATAATGATGAAAGAATACCTTGATGATCGCGTAGTTCTCTATATTACATAGAGTCTTTAAAAATTCCTATCGTGTCTTGCCGCTCTTAAGTTTTTCCAAAACGTGTTGTACATCATTTACTTTTATTTTAAGATTTTGGATGTTGGTTATAAAATTCTCTTAATAATACAGCAGTTTGTATGAAATGCTGATTGTAATTTAGGCCAAGCCCACGTTAAAAAAACTTCTAAGGAACTAATTCCAAATGAAACCAAATATTAGAGAGCGCCAAAGCGATGGAAGCCAATGGTGCCGATACATGACGTAATTAACAGGCTCACTATCTCTTTTCTAATGCAGCAGCTGCTTTTAACACATTTCCGACGTCATTATTTGCTATTACTTTTCATTGCGAAAAAATACCACATCTGACAAAAGTATAGTTAAAAGCACGAAAATCTAACAGTCTACACCACAAGAAAAATCACCGGTGGGCCTTATGCGGGCCGCACTTTGATCACCTGTGGTCTACACCACTAAATAAGCGGGTTGATCATTGTTTGTTTGTTTGTAGTATTTATTGCTATCCATATAAATAAAATACAAGTGTACATTTTTTTTAAATATATAAATAAAAGAGCATTGACACTATAACATTACACCCCTATATGGCATAGCAGAGGATAACCCTTTAAGCTGGGATGCTTGTTTCAGAAGCTTGCAATCATAAACAATTGTGTAAGATAAAGTACACGAAAATGTAATTACGCCCGATTGAACATGCAATCTTCGGAATTGAAACACATTAGGCAAATGCTAAACATAGCACTGTCTATTAAGTCTTGGTTTTGAAGATCAGCATGGAAAAGCCTATAATGATTATTAGCTATGCAGATTATATCCATTCACTATCGGTAAACAAAAAGTGTCAGGTCATTAAGGTGATAATGACACGTTGATAGCCCACGGATTAATAAATTTAAGTAATGACTAGCTTAAAAAAACAAATACATTCACAATATTCTTTCCTACTGATTGATGATATGAATAATTCACCTAGCTGTCTGTAAACAAACTAAAACAAATTAATTTTAAAAAAAATCGTTTCGTGGACTCGTGTCCTTTAATAGAGAATAGGCCTATAGGCCTACTGTAGATTATAACAATGCACAAAGATATCGTAACGTACGTTCATAAGTTGAAAGGATTAATATTGTCGTTTTCCTTTACTATGTTATCATCAATATTACCATCGTCATCATCTTCATCATCATCATTATCAACATCATCATTATCAGTATTACCGTACTAACGAATTCTTTATGTAAATACAGATTTGTTTTTAATATTCTCAGTACCAGTTATTAGAAATAAGAAATTTCTCAATTACAGTAGGCCTACCCCAGTTACATTTATGGTAGGTACATTCGTTTCTTCAAACTGAAAAATTGATCTACAATCCGAGGTTTGTGGGCCGTAGAATATATAATAGTGTAATAAGAAGGGAGCCGACCGGTATTCGAGTACTTAGTGGGTTCACTACAGTACCCTTTTCTGCATGCTCTAGCTGCATTGCACGCATTTAAAATTGCCTACGTGTCAACCTTTAATTGCAACGGAACGCCACATTTTCCAAAAGTGTCGCTGAAAGCTTTACGGAAATCTGACAGTCGACACCAATAAATAAGTGGGTTGATCATAGAATTTACAATCGTCATCAAATGTGATATAATGTAAATTATAATGTAAGATTCTCCGAAAAAACATGCAATCTTCGGAAATGAAACCCATATGCTAATAACAAGAAATGGCGTCCACAATAAAATTAAAAGTCCAGTTATAATTGAAAACGTCTTCAAAACTTTCTTTGATCGGTTGACATCGTGGACACCCATAGCCGCAAGACGCTCATCAGACTTGCATATGGTCTGATATATGATTACATAGAAAATAGCTGTAGCTATCATGCCAAATAAACAGATCATTGAAAATAACCACAAAGATATTTCGGGTTCACTGTATATGTACAGAATTGGGACTGACGCGAGGGGTACAACCCATAAAAATATACAAACAATCGAAAGACGTTTAGTGGTGACGTTACTAGCATAGTGTAACGGCATAAAGACTAGTGCAAGAGATCTTTCCACTGCAACGGCAGTAACATTCAATATCGATGTAAGAGTCAAGGTATGTAACAAGATACTGATAAAAATAAATGCTACCCAAGCACTCTGATTGTGTAAACATATAACTAGTACAACATCTAGGATACCAATCAATAAATCGCATACTGCCAACGACAATACGAAAATGTTGTGTTTTTTCCGAAGGAGTTTTGTCTTTGTGATGACAATAATCGTCAGTAAGTTGTTTACCACTAGTGGGAAGCAGATTGTTAACACAATGCTTATATATAACGTTGAATGTTTCTTTAAAAAATCCGAATATTCGTGAGTAAAGTTATAAGTTTCATTCAGACACGCCATTTTTAAAAACGTTGAAAGAATGAATAGGCCTAATATATTGTGTCGGTATAGGCCCTAAAGTGAATTTAAATGTAAATTTATGTATTCATATATTTCTACAAAAAGGACTAAAAATCTGCAGTTGTACTTTAATTCGATGAACTTTGATTGTCGAGGACTGTTCGCATAAAAAGAAAAATTAAATAAATGTTATCGTTATTACAATACAATTACGATGTCTGAACAGAATAACGATGTCGTTTAAGTCAATTTTTATCAACCAAGAAGCCAGTTTGACTGTTCATGTTTAGCGCAGGATAATATAAGATCAGTGTCAGATCCAACCATTCAACTGTGTCTTCTTTCTGCGGAGGGTCCTGCTGTTTACATCTATGTGACATTTTGTGTTTAAAAAAAAACACTGGTAGACTCATGAAAATGATCGGTCTTCAGCTTATTGCCACTCAGTGTACATGATAATACCACAATGTCATCCCCAATTTCAACCCTTGCTTTATTGTTATAATAAGTGAAAATCACACACAGCCATTTTGAAATCTAAGTCTAAATGCTGAACACTCATGTGATAGTCGATCCCATTTTCCGCGTCCGGATCTTATTAGGCTGCAGTCTCTTCAGTAGAAACACAAGTATAATAGTTTCTAATGTTATACACTCAACATTAAGTATGGCTCATATACACTAACGATGAAATTACATATACCTACACATAATGTCCAATGAGTCAAACAAGGTTGCATTTGCGAAATCCCTGACCGTTGACAATGTCCTAGTGTCCAGAATGTCTTAAATTTTTGTTTGCTGATGAACGTGAAATGTGTCTAGCTTAAGCCTATGTGATTGGTTATTCGTTTGTGGGTGGTGATAATAATATGGTCTTAAATCTTGATTGATCGATAATGTTAGTTATATGATTAGAAAAATTAAAACTTAATGCATTCACAATTACCGATTTGCTTTACTGTTGATTAATGGCATGAGTAATTACAAGTATCTGTCTTTATAACAAATAAAATAACGCCCTCATTTTAGATGTCTGAATTTGATACTATTGTAGAACATGCAGCCAAAGGTAGTTGTCTGGTTCTTATGATTGTTTTTTAGAAAGGGTCAACATTGCCGTTTCGCCTGGGTATGCCGCCATAATTTTATGTTGCAACCTCTCGTGTCTTAACATAATCATTATTTCTGTTATCATTATCATCATCATCATTATCATTATCAATTTCATTTATTGCCTTTGCAATTTGTACGTCGATTATAATCAGGCGGTACTGGGGAACGACGCTTTGATTTCAGTCCACACAACAGACATCAGTTCCGTCCGTCCACAAAACCACAAACACCACAACTAAAGTTCGTTTTTTTGTGACAACGGCAGGCAGTACTGGAAATGTAAATACACAATTAGTTTCTGAGCCTCCGCCTTTGAAAAAAGTAAAAGTCGGTGTGCTGAACTCCCTGGTGTACTGTAGAAAAAAGATGTCCAGCCATTTTAGAAGGTGTGCATTTACATCAACGATTGCCATTAAACATTGTAAATGTTTGGTCATCACTGTATCCAAGGGCGGCGGAAGCGCGGGGGTGGTAGGGGCAGGGGACATTGGCCATTCCAATGTCATTATTATTATTATTTGCGCCTTATAAATTGACATAGGGGCCTATTATTAATTTTTCATTTTCAAAAGAACATTAGAAGTTCCCTTTTTGAGTTGAGCAACAAGATGTTGATTGTTTTCTTGAAACTTACCCTCGAGCAAGAAGAAAGAAAAAGAATGAAATCGCCCGCCTTGCGTGAATTCTATATTTAGGCATAGGGTGGAGGTAGGCACTCTTTATTGAGCGAGGCTCTAGTTCTCTTCATGTTAACCATGAAGACGCAAGTGTAACTGATTGGCTTACAGTAAACCATCAAAAAGGGTAATATTACCCCCATTTAAAGTCCATCCAATTTAACGAAAACAATAAGATACTTAATTAGGCCATTTATTAAAATAAAGTTCTCTGAAGGTTAACTACAGAATTTACAGTACACTGTAGTTAATATAGGTTGTAAAAATTGTATTAGATTAAAAAAATCTTTTGAATAAAAAAACTCTTTCGCTTGACATTAGGATTGTGAAACCAAATGATTTTTGTCAAGTGTTATATTGAACAGTGGCGGATTAAAGTGGGTGCCCAGTCAGCACGGGGGCCCCCAACCTCTAATTTCTTTTTTCAAATTATAAAATAAATGGAGAAAACAGACACAATTGTATTCAACTTTTAATCTGAAAAATGCTATTTACGGCCATCTAGAGGTCTTACCGCAAACCCTACCGTTGTGGGGCTGATGTTGGAGTATCATTTCCGAGCTACACATAATGGTAAGTTTATTCATCGGGGCAAAAGGTTTCGTTGAAGTCTAAGAGAAAATTTCCGACCATCTAGAAGTGTCACAATTACAAATAATTTTCTTACCTTAGCCCCACCCATGGTGGGGCCGAGGTGGTGGTATATATTCTCATTTGCGGAAGAAGCCAGTGTTGGATTAAAGGCCTCCCCTCCCACCCACAAATTGTTCAAATGTTTTTAAAAATGGAGATATAAAGTGAATTATATTCAAATTTTATGTATGGAATTGCAATTTCCAGCCATTTAGATGTGCCATAATCATAACATTTTCTTACCTTAACCATGATGGGGTTGAGGTGTTATAGATCTCCATTTATGAAAGTCTTTCCTGACCTTCCTCTACTTTCCTGGATCCGCCACTGAAAATTACAACAATTATGATGAAGTCAAGTTACAGTAGCTGGCTGTCTAAAAAATAACTAATAAAATTCACCAAACGTCGTCAAATATCCGTAGCTTCCAGGGACCTTCGCCCTTGTCGGCTTGGACCTCAGCCTAGATGCACGCTTCGCTCGTATACTGGACCTTATGAAACAACGTTGGTAAGTTGAATACTTGTATTTAAGTAGAATATTTGTATTTGCACAATCGTGAATGTAAAGGTTATGTATTTATTGTAATTGATAGTTTTCTTAATTTCGATTCCGGTTTGATTAAATGAACAGTTGATTATCTGACAAAATTAAGAATGATGTTTTTTAAAGGACGATACAAAGGATGTTACGTTAATTTAGGCTATTTCAATCATATGAAAATTTACAAAGTATGGTCAAATTATTCGCAATAGAGGTAGTAAAGACTAGATCCCCTAATAAAACCTACTCAATTTTCCCATTATCCATATGATTCACTATTAAATACAAAAAAAGTTTAACATAGAATTCAAATATACCAGACACACGCCGTTTTCATATGCAAATTATTCTAAATTTCAAAACTCAAGGTAAAGTATGGTTCCAGTATATTAGCAACTGCTGTTTACAGAGATTTTCTTTCTTTTTAAAAATTTAGAGCGTCTTGTACCGGTATTCAGTCAACGTGGGTCACCAATTTTGTTACTCTTCTGATATTGTGAATTATTAACATACAAAATAAGAAACCAGAGGAGCACATTATATATAATACTTGAACAACTAGAACTTAGAACAAGATATGAGCAGGGAGGAATTAGTTTATATATGAGTCATTAACCTAGGCTAACTATTTTTCATAAATCTTTATTCATAAATTGTATTTAACTTAAATAAGATACTGATAGGCAACTGGTCATACAACCAACGACAATACAAAAATGGTGTCTGAATCTGAATCAGACAGAGGACTCCCCTAGGGTATATGCGTTAGGTTGTAGGTTAGGGTAATTAGGTGTTAATAATTATAAAAGATTTATTTATTAAAAGTGTATCCGACTGGTAAATGATTTTTAAATTGCCAAAAAGGTATATAATTTGGATTGGTTCGCCAAGAGAGGGCTCCAACAATGATGCCGAGGCAGCGCCGCTTTATACGCAGAAAAACACTGACAAATTTGATGTAACAGCAACTTCTGCTTCGGCCTAGTGCCTCAGGTCTACTGCCGTTAGACTGCGACAGAAAACGACGCTGAACCGAGTCAGGAAGTGGTAACCCCCTCACAAAAAAAAATAAATAAATAAATAATATATATATATACACCATATACCAGACACACACATTATACATATATACATATACATATACATATACAATACAAGCTATGCGGCTCGGTTCCAGTAGATACAGAGAATATTTTGTCATTCTTAACGCGTCCTACAAAATTCTTACCGAGACAGCACTAGTCCGTGAATTTGTGAACAAGATCGGATATCTAAAGATGCAAACTCTACCGTGCATCAATGGCGGCGCTGGATCTCAATAGAGATTCTTAAATAATATACAAGTTTGAAAGGCAAATGGGAAAAACCCAATAAACAGCAAACGGCAATAAAATGCAAAACAATTTAAAATTAAAATTAAAACGTAACAGTAGAGAAAATCCGATCAGAATGACAAAATAAACTAAGCATCCACTGGAAGGAATCCTAATATCT